CTACATACAAGGGGTTGGGGGGTGACACCCAGGTTTGGATCTTGGCTGACAGGCATTAACTGGACAGTGGAACCAGTGTTAGGTATGCGATGAAGACTGATGGGGAGAAGGGGGTAGCCTTAGCGAAACTTCAGGCCATGCAGCCCCTCGTTACCTGGACTGCCAAGGCGTAATGACACCATCGTCAGGGCCTCCGACCAGCACCATGCGGCCCACGCGGAGGAAGTTCTTCCGCCATGCTGCAGTTTGGGAGCAAGAGAGCCCGAGTCAGCACGGGGCCGGCCAGGTTGGAGCGGGAACACAGCGGGTCAGAAAAGCAGAAAATGACTCCCAAGTAGAAGCCTGGGGTCTCACCAGTGGCATTGGGATGGTCTCTTTCCCCATTGATGAGGGCCAGGAAGCTGCTGGCATTGAGGTACAAGTCGTCGTGGTGGGGATCTGGGTACAAACAGCATTTAGAAAGACAGTCAGAGGAGCAGGGAGAGGAGGCAGGACTGGAGACTGGAAGACCCATCAGGCAGCTTCAGTAATAGACAAGGTGAACAGTAATGTAACGCAGCAACAATAATAACTGTGAACATGATAGCAAACACCTTTACCTAGCACCTACTGTGAGCCAGACACTGTTCAAAGTATGCTGTCCTCATTAATTTACAACCACCCTGTAAGGAAGGTATGATATTATTCTTTTACAGCTGAGGGAAACTGAGTCACAGGAAGGCGAAGGAACACCCGGAGGCACCCAGCAGGGTCAGACTTCAAACTCCAGCAGCCTGGACCCAGCATCCATGGTCTTGAAAAGCACCTTAGGCTTTTGCACTAGGCTCACTGCTTGTTTCTGTAAAGGAAGTTTCATTGGAACAGACACATGGCGGCTTTCACACAGGCGTGCCAGAACGGATGAGCTGTGACAGAGACTATATGGCCTAAAAAACTAAAAATATTTATCATTTGGCGCCTTAAAGAAAAAGTTTGCTGACCTCTGTACCACACTGTACTTTCTGAGACAATAGCTGATACACATAAAGCATTTTGTGCTCAATCAATGTAAGTTATCACTATCGTTACTGCTATTGGCTATGGAAGAGGGGGAGCAGCAGGCCCTAGCCTCCAGGGTACCCCTCCATGGAGGTCCAGGTTAGCCTCCCCTACTCACCATGCCAGTAGTTGCATATGGAGAACTCCTGCCCCCAGGGGCTATAGCAGATCCGGTAGAGGTTAGACCTCATGGAGGTAGGGAACAGCCACTTCAAGTAGTCCGTGTCTGGCAAGAGAACAGCGGCGCCAAGTAGACCCAAACCTTTGTGGCAACCCCCCCGCCCCAAACTCAGGGCCCCCGATGAAGCCCACCGTACTCACTGACCTCCATACTGCCCCATCTGTGGGGAGGAGAGAGAGATGAAAGAATCCACATTGTGTTCATCCATCACGGAGAGCAGTGCCCGGCACACCAGGCCTCCTGTGGGCAGACCACCACATGGGCAGGGATTTAGGGACAGCCAGCCCAACAGTCTCCACACTGCTTCCCCCACCAAAACGTACAGAAGGAAGACTGAGGCCCAGATAACAGACACGTCCTGTGGCAAAAGGTCCGTATCACGTAAGTGACAGAGCCAAGAGCCAGACTTAGGTTCAGGGGTCTTCTGACCCTAACTCTAGGGTGTTTTTTACTGCCCCTCTCACTATCTCTTAGGGCCAAGAACCATGGGTAATGGGGAAGGGAGGGGGTAGCAGTGTGGCCACTGAGGATACAAAGATGAGACCCAGGGGCTGAGGGAAGTCAGAAAGGAGGGCTCAGGCACCGGGGTCCTGCTGGACAATGTGGTTCAGAAAAGGGGACACTAGGAAGTGCCCCTCAGGTAAGGATCAAGCTTCAGACAGTGCTTGGGATTAGGGGGTCACCTACCCTGCGAGTAGCAGATGAGATGCACCCCTTGAGGGGCCTTTGCCATGATGGGGGCCACGGCCTCTCGGAACCCTTGCACCTGTTCCCACAGGGGCCGCAAGCTCTCTCTCCCATCGAAGAGATCAAGCACCGTGACCTCAGTCCCAGGGTGTGTCTGTGGGAAGCGGCAATGCTGCAGCTGGGGGTGGGCTGCGAAGCCCTCCCCTCCACCCCAGGCTGCGCCAGTGCCTACTGTGCCCCGCTAGAACCGGGGGTCTCGTCCCCCACCCAACTCTCCCCAGTCCGGCACCAGCTCCCGAGGAACCGGCAGGCCAGAGGGGCGGCTTTCGGTTCCGCACGCGTCCTCCCTAGCCACCGCAGACGCCCCCAACGCCCCGCAACCAGGTGTCCCGGCCAGACCTCGTTGATGTAGTCCAGCAGGTGGCGGAAGCTGTACGAGCTGTCGAAGAGCCCGTGCACCACGATGACCGGCTTGTAGGAAGCGCGACGGGGCGCGGGGGCCGCCGGCAGCAGCAGCAGCGGCAGGAAGGGCAGCGCGAGCAGGATCCCCACAAGGGGCAGCCGCGGCCCCCGGAGCCCCGGCATGCTCTCACCTGGGGAGGGGGTGCTCGTGAGCGCGGACCACGGCCCCTGCCCTCGGGGCAGACTCCGCGCTATCAAGCCTCTCCCGCCCGGGCCCCCCAAGTCCGGGTCACAAAACAGCCAACTTTTAACTTACTCCGTCCTCGGCCCGCAAACACACCCCCACCGCGCAGACGCGGCGACGCGCACCCGAAGCCCCGCCCCCAGCTGGCGGCGACCGGGCGCCCGGGCGCCCGGGCGGGGACCTCCCGAAAGCGTCGTCCCCGCCAGGCACCGGCGGGCTTCTGCAGGAAGGACCTCTGAGCAGCAGCCAGGTCCCAGGGAGGGCGCACCCTCCCACCGGCCCGGCTCCGGGAGCCCGCCCCGCCCGCTGTTTACTCCTCCCGGGTCTGGGAGCCCGGGGGGGAGGGGAGGGGAGGGGAGGGAGGACGGCGTGCGCCCGGGAGTGACCGGGGGAGCGGGGCGGCAGCTCGGGGTCGCGCTCGGCCGTCATATCCGGGGCTTTCCCTGGCAACCGTGCCAGCGTCCCAGGCAACGCAGGCCGGGGACCGGAGGAACCATGGAACTTTCCATTGCGCCCTGGGAGCGGGGGGGACAGAGGCGGAGCGGTTCATTTTGACGGCGAGGAGAGGGAGAAGCATAGAGAGGTCCTGGGAACAGAGAGAAGGCCTTCGCCCCAGTGCCGGGCCCTGGGGTCCGGCTCGGCAGGGAACTCGACGTCCTCTCCCGGGGAAAGTCCTCCGCGCTTCGCCGTCGCTGCCGAGGGCTGGAGCCAGTCCAGGCGAGCCCCGCCCGCCCCTGCCAGCCCGCCCGGCTCGGCCTCTTACACCTCTTGATCCTGAAGTGCGTGTAGTGCTTGTCTCCCGAGGCGCGGAGAGTCCTCCCGGCCCCTCGAGCTAAGAGCAGCCTGGCCCAGTTTCTCCTGCCCTACTCTCCGCAGCTCCCACAAAGGATCCACCCCGAAGGGGTGGAGGGCTCCCGAAGCGGCTCTGACTCACGCTTACTAGCGTGGTTTCGACCAGACTTTCAACCAGAATGACCCCCGCAATCTGGCCCTTAGCTGGGAGCTCCTGGGGCGGCTCCCCACCCAGACCCTCCCACCAGTCCAGACTCCCAGCCCCCGGCATCCCCACCTCTCCACCTGTGACCCTTACCCAATACCCAGGAAGAAGTTAATGAAATAAAATGAACTCACTATGGCCAAGCTGCTAAGTTACTAAAGGTAAGCAGGTTGAGGTATGAAGAAATGATTCTATTCTTGTTTTAACTTAAACTTTGGAACTTTCTAGTCCTGCGTCAATGCCTGCATATACCTCAGACCTCCAGACAACTGAGAAACTACTCTGATATCCAGACCACCTGACAGCCAGTGTGCAGACCGCTGGTCAGCTAGAGGACTACCCATCCAGAGGCTAAGACTGAACTGATTCTTCTGAAAAAATGTACCCTATAAGCCTTTCTCCCTCCTCAGGAACACTCCAAGTATTGCTTAATTGTGCTACCAGTTTGCCAGCCCTAAGATCCTTGGTTAAATCTTTGCCATTTCTTTATATCGAAGCCTCCAGACACTTACTGAGTTCCTTGGACACCAGGAGCCCCAGTTAGAGCTTTTACTTAGCATTTAACGGTGTTTCCCTTGAGAAAAGAACTTCCCAGATTGTCTGAACCCCTCCCTTGTTCACAAGCTCTTTGCTGGTCTAAAGTACTTCCCAGTCGAACCAATTTGAGCTCTGAGTTGTGTAGAATGAGGTGGTGGTACAGGTTAGGGCTCCCACAAACACCATAGAAACCAGAATGGGGAACCATGATTTAAATCTCTGTAGCCTGGGACTGGCCCAGCTGAGTGTCTGTTTAGACATGAAGGAGAAGGACACAGCCGAGGAGAGTGACTGTGTCTTGGCGAGTGGAGGGGGTTAAGAAATGGATCTGAACCCTGGCAGGCCCAGGAACTCTAAGAAGCCCAGAAGCAAAGGAGAACAGCGGATGGAGTACATCTTCCCCATTCGCCCAGGCCTGGGTGGCGGGTTGGAGCTATAACCCTGGGAACTTTCCAGGCCATCGCACGTCTCAACTCTGCATACACACCTCTCTCATACACCGTTGTCTCTCCTAAAGTGAGGAGAGGAGGGGCAAGAATTTGGGAGAAGAATCTGGGGCCTGACAGGGGAAGCTGGGGAAGCAGCGGCCTCGCTGGAGTGAGCCAGACCTGCAGGGAGCTGGGTATTGAATCTGAGGAGCACCTACTCCATTCCTCCCACAGCTGATCACTACAGCCAGGCTCGGAGGGGCCGGCTCTAGAGTGTTCTCTCTCCCTCCTTCCTCTCCTTAGTCCCACCCACTTTGCCTGGTCTTGCTTGCCTCCCTGTTTCCATGACAACTCCAAGGGAGCCCAAACTGGGGGCTTGAATGCTAGGGTGAGAGGAGGAGAGACGAGTGGGGGTACGTCTGAAGAGCTCCCCCAACCCCGCCTCGGTCCCTTTAAGCTCTCCCCCCTCCCTGTTCTCCCTCTGCCCCCCCACCCCCACCCTCCGCGGCTGTCTTCTCTCCATCTCTTGCGCTCGCTGCTGGCTGCGCAATCCCTGCACCCAGACTCCAGCTCCAGTTGGAGACCCCCGACTCCAGCTACAGAGACCCTGACCCAGCGAGACAGAGACTGCAAGCATGTCATCAGAAAAGTCAGGTAAAAAGCCACAGCCAAACCTCCCACTCCCTCTACGGTCTCCTGACCCTCCCCCCCCACCCCCCAGCTCCAACCCCCTCCCTTACCTCTTCCTAGCGGGTCTCTCAGCTCTCAGCCACCCCTAGACCCCCTCCTCTTCCTTCTCTTCCTTTTCTCCTTCCAGTTTCAGCCTCTGTCCCTGCCAACGTGGGCAGCAGGGGGTAGGCTGAAGCAGTAAGGGAAGTAGGAGAGAGTGGCTTAGCATCAGCCAGGTGCTGCAGGGATAGCATCGTGGGGAGTGACAGATGGACAGATGGCACTGGCTGGCATGGGGACATCCAGTGGGGACGTATGGAGACACCAGCACATGCGGGTTGTTAGGGGAGTAAAATCCAGCAGACCCTCCTTTGTCAGCCCTAAAGGAAGCACTGAGATTCCCCTCCCCCCGGAGGAACGGCAGAGTGGACCGTGTCAGCTGGCATGGCTTGCACAGTGTTGAGCTGACACACGTTAAAGCCGTGTTGCATGGCTACATGTACACGCGCAGGACGAGCTCCGAGAGGCAGGCCCGAGGCAGCCACAGCCAAGCAGGCGCTGGCTCCGCTGTGAACGCCGTGGGCCCCGTGCTGTGAAGAGCAGAGTTGTGACCTCAAAACTAGATAGAAAGACAGAAGTGGGGGAGCACAGATGGCCTAGATACAAGCCCACTCCTGCCCCCAAAACGAGATGGCTTCTCACCTGTCTCCTCTGTCTCTCCCACTGTCTTTCTCCATCCCGGACCCTCTGTGTCTCCCCCTAACCCTCCCCATCTCGCTCTTATCTGCCCCTGGACCCTCGCCTCGGCTCACCGCCCCAGGCCTCCCGGACTCGGTCCCTCACACCTCTCCGCCGCCCTACAACGCCCCGCAGCCGCCCGCCGAGCCCCCCGCCCCGCCCCCGCAGGCGGCGCCCTCCGCGCACCACCACCACCACCACCACTACCACCAGTCGGGCACCGCCACCCTCCCGCGCCTCGGGGCCGGCGGCCTGGCGGCGTCCGGGGCCTCCGCCGCGCGCGGGCCCTCGTTCTCCGCCACTCTGCCGCGGCCCCCGCACCACGCCCCGCCCGGCGCGGCCTCGGGGGCGCCCCCGCCCGGCTGCGCCACCTTGCCCCGCATGCCACCCGACCCTTACCTGCAGGAGACGCGCTTCGAGGGCCCGCTGCCCCCGCCGCCGCCCGCCGCCGCCGCCCCGCCCCCGCCGGCGCCCTCGCACACCGCCCAGGCCCCCGGCTTCGTGGTGCCGACGCACCCCGGGGCGGTGGGCACGCTGCCGCTGGGGGGCTACGTGGCCCCCGGGTACCCCCTGCAGCTGCAGCCCTGCACCGCCTACGTGCCGGTCTACCCTGTGGGCGCGGTGAGTGCGGCGACCGGGGCCTGGGAGGGGGGAGGGCGCGATGGGGACACCCTGGGCGCTGGTGGGATGGGGAAACCGGGCCAGGGGACCTGCGGCCTAGGGTAGGGCCTGGAGAGGCGGGGAGGAGGGGGCTAGGGAGAGACCTGCGGGGAGGGGGTCTGGCAGCCAGTGAGGGCAGAGACCACGGCCTGGGAGCGGGAACAGAACAGCGGAGGGAGCAGAAACCGGGGACTGAGTGAGGGGAGAGGCCAGGTAGGGGACCTGGAGGGAAGAAACAAGGTTTGAAGTGAGGCGGGGCAGCGCCGGAGGGGCATTCCTTGGGGGAGGGAAGTTGGAGAGCCCCGAGGATATGGGGTTAATGGCAACCATGGAGGGAGGAGCGGGCCTCGGTGAAATGTATGGGTGTTCTGGAAGCAACGTGCAAGAATTGTGCTTTAAGAATCGCTCTTCCAAAAGCGGACCATTGTGGGGCCCAGAGGGTCCGCATGACGCCGTCCCCCTTCCTTACACAGCCCTATGCAGGCGGGACCCCGGGGGGCGCGGGAGTCCCCTCCACGCTGCCCGCGCCGCCGCAGGGCCCGGGGCTGGCCCTGCTGGAGCCCAGGCGCCCGCCGCACGACTACATGCCCATCGCAGTGCTGACCACCATCTGCTGCTTCTGGCCCACGGGCATCATCGCTATTTTCAAGGCGGTGCAGGTGTGTATGGGGCGTTCGGAGAGGAGGCTCACTCGGCTTCTCATCCCCAGGAGCCGGGCGTCGGGGAGCAACTTGGAGGGGGGCTGCGGCCTGCGCGCGGGTGGGCGGCCGGCCGTTCTCTGACCCGTTCCCCGCCGCCGCCCGCAGGTGCGCACGGCCCTGGCGCGCGGAGACATGGTGTCGGCCGAGATCGCCTCGCGCGAGGCGCGGAACTTCTCCTTCATCTCCCTGGCGGTGGGCATCGCGGCCATGGTGCTCTGCACCATCCTCACCGTGGTCATCATCATCGCCGCGCAGCACCACGAGAACTACTGGGATCCGTGAGGACGCCCCCGGCCCGGCGCCGCCCTGCGCCCCTCCACCTCAGCGCGGCCTGCGCTCCCGCCGCGGACCCCCGGGGCGCCCTGCACACCCGCCCCCGGGGCTGCCGGACTGGGATGCGCCCTAAGCTCGGCCTCCGCGGAAGCCCTCGCGGTGCGGGCACGCTCCGAATCCAGTTCCTCAGGAACCGCGCCGAAGCCCACACTCCCAAGGACGCCGCGTCCCTGGGTCCCAGCCAAACACCAGGCCCCAGGCGCCCCAGACTCCCCTCCCCGCTAAAAGCAGCGCCCCCGGGGGAGCTGCGGGAGGGTCCTTCGCGGAGCCGGGAGCCTGGTCCCGCAAGCCCCGCCTCCTCCATAGGCTCCGCCCCGGCTCTGAAAACCCCCGCCTCCAGGTCGGCAGGCTCCGCCTTCTTCTCTTCCTCGCGGGGTGCCTCGGGCCGGCGATTGGGTTTGGGGCACCGCGCCTCGCCCCCAGACCGACAGACTCCTCCCGTTCTCGCGGCGTGAGGACCCAGCCGCGGCGCAGCCACGGCTCCCGCGCGCTCCCGTATTTGCCGGCGGTTTCTTGTCTCCTCCACCCCATCTCCGCCGAGTTTCTTGCTAATCCCAGAACCTCTATTTTTGTTTTGTTTTGTTTCTTGGGATGGAGTTTGGGAGGCTCCCAGTTTAGGACCCTTCCCTCTGGGAAGAAGATACCGTGCGGGTCCCTGTAAATATTCCCGAGCAGCCGGGCGAAGGGAACCCAGGCTGTGGGCCTGCCGGTGTCCGGCGTCCGGTGTCCGGAGGGAGCCCGCTCCCGCTCCCCGGCAGCCCCGCCTTGTTCTGGTCTGTGTGTGAGTGTGTGTGTGTGAATTTCTGAAAGCCAATATTAAAGAGTCTAAGTGGATTTATCACCCGGAATTCCGATGACTAACAAAGACCCTGCTCTTTGGGTCCCCTTTCATCTCTCCCCGTTTCCCCTTGGGGTGTGATGGGGAAGGAGACTGACAGGTCTCAGGACACCAGAGAGAGACACGCACACGCAGGGGGAAGGATCCCTGGGATCCTGCCCGGGAAGACCTTGGGGGCCGTTCTCGGGGAGGATTTCTTTCCGCAGCACATCTTTCCACTCCCTCCCCACTGGGCTTCAGGCTGTGGAGAGGGAGAGGTACAAGGAGACCCAGAGCTCTCTCCCCAGAACCCCAGAAAGTCAGGAGGGAAGGAGAGGGCAGACCATTCTGAAGAAGTTGGCCAGAGGTCGGGTGGCAGAGAAAAGGTGCCAGCTGCCCGCAGGTGTTCCTGCCTCGGCTGGAGGGTGGCAGACAACTTGAATTAGAGCCCTAAGTGGCGTGTTGTACTCGCACAGGGAAGGCAGAGGGAAAGGCTGCGGAAACCTGTCTCAGCCTCTTCCAGCTGCTATCACTAAATGCCAGAGGCCGGTGCTCATAAACAAAAGAATTTATTTCTCAGGGTCCTGGCGGCTGGAAGTCTGAGATCAGAGCGCCGCAAGAGCCCCTGAGGGCCCTCTGGATTGCAGACTTCCCGTTGCATGCTCAAGCGGCAGAAGGGGCGAGGGCGCACCCCATTCATGAAGGCTCCACCCCGGGGACCTATCACTTCCCAAATCTGCACATCAGGATTTTAACATGAAGTTTGCAAGGAACATAGTCAAGCTACAGCAGGGCCCCAGGGAGGAGGTCAGTAGCCTCTCAACCCCAAGTGGGGCCTGTGGTCCTTTCCTACCCTGAGGTCAGCCAGGGGCCTCTTGGGGAGGGGGGAGGGGCACAAGCAGTGGACTCGGTCTCTTCAGTTGGACACCTGCAGGACATGACCCTACCCTGACTCCATGCATTCATACAACATGCAGATACCACGCAGGGTGCTGGCGAGACATTGCCGACCTCATGGAGTTTACCTAGGAGGAAAGCCATGCACCAGGATGAGACATGGGAGGAGGGTGTGGAAATCATGGGGAACGTTTTTTTAGACATTTCGGGTTGAATGTGCCTTCCTTATCAAGCTTCTTTAAAAAAATTTTAATTGATTATTTTAGAGAGAGAGGAAGGGAGAGGGAGAGAAACATTGACGTTAGAGAGAAGCATCAATTGGTTGCATTCTGCACACGAACCTGCAGCCTGGGTATGTGCCCTGGCCAGGGATCTAACCGGGGCCTTTCGGTGCACCTGCACCGGTAGACTCTCAACCAACTGAGCCAACAGAGCCACTCTGGCCAGGGCCTCACCAAACTCCTTGAAAAAAGAATCCACATTTGCAACCTCCACTTCCTTACCGCTTACTCATTTGTACCCCTTTCATCTCAAGCCTGAGAAAGGGGACATGGTTGTCACAGATGTGTCTGTCTGTCTTTCTTTCATGCCCACTGTTTCTTAGCCCTTTAAAATCTGCTTCCACTCCCTACTCTACTGAAACTGCTCCCTCAAATAGTACCCAATGACCAGAAGTTACCAGGAGCCAAACTCAATGGCATTTTCCTGAACCCTCCCATGTTTGTTCCTTGACCCTGGATTCCTCACTCACCCAGGCAGGGTTCAGGGACAAGTCATCTCTCCCCGCTTTACCTCCAGACACACCTCTAATCATTTTCCTCCCACTCTTTTTCCTTCTCCCTTCCCCTAAGTGCCTATTCTGGATTTTTTCCCCCTTCTTTGAGACCTTCCCTTGAAAATCTCATCCACTCCAAACTCTCAATCATTTCTTTCTTTTTTTCAAATTATAAGAGAAAGTTTATTTTAAAAGTCATAGAGGTAGAAGTGACTCATAGAAGAAATGTGCTCAGGAAAAAGGTTACAGAGCCAAAAGAAGGGCCCTTGGAGCTCGGGAGAGGAAAAGGTGAAGGTAAGGTTCCTGGGGGCAAGAAGAGGGGGAAGGGAAAGGTGTGGGTGTGCTTCCCAGAGGAAGAGCTGCCCAGAAGTAATTTCTAATGCTTCTCCGCTATAGACTGAATGTTTGTGTTCCCCCCAAATTCATGTTGAAACTTGATCCCCAATGTGATGGTGGGACCTTTGGGGGGTGCTTAGGTCATGAGGATGGACTGCTATGAGTGGGATGAGTATAAGAAACTACAGAGAGCTCCCTGCCCCGTCCACCAAGTAAGGACAAAGTTAGAAGACAGCTGTATATGAGTCAGAAGTGTCTCAGCAGACACTGGATCTGGTGGTGCCTTGATCTTAGACTTTCCAGCCTCCAGAACTGACTGTGAGAAATAAATGTCTGTTGTTTATAAGCCATCCAGTATATGGCCTTTTGTTACAGCAGCCCGAGTTGATTAAGACATTCTCTAACCTACATGTTTATATGCAGACATTCTTCCAGGGCCTGTGGAACACATCCACGTGGACCATGCTGCTGGTCCTCTAACCTCAGCATGGTCCAAACCAAATAGATGCAATGCCACTGAAAACCTGCTCCCCTGTCTCTATTAATGGCACCATTTCCCCAGCCCCCTTTGATATCATATGACTGTCTTCTAATAGCATCTGAAAACGTGATGCTATTAGAAGACAGTTCCCTGAGTCAGATGGGGAGGGCTGTCCCCTCCTTGGCTCTTGTCAATCTCATAAGATTTCAGATGAGTGACAGCAGTGTTGTAGCAAAGCAAGCAGATTTATTAAGGTAGCAAAGCAAGCAAATTTATTAAAAATACACTTGGCATATAGCATAAGTGGGCACCCAGCTAGTCTGAGTGCCCTGCCTGGTGGAAGTTTAAGGGTTTTATACTTTTCTGTCTACAGGTTTAAAGTTGCCAGATATCTCAGGCAACAGACCAGATTTTAAGGTCCCCCTTTTACTTTGTTGTGGCTTTTTCCAGAATTTATGATAACATCTGGCAATTTTATCTGGGCAAGTTCCAAGACTGCTGACTTCTTAGTTCACTGGATGAGTTAAAACTCTCCCTTTTCCCCTCCTCCCCCTTTTCACATAGTCTCTGGTTAGGGAGGAGAGATACAAACCATTTGCTCTCAAGTGTCCTTGGTTGGGGAAGATAAGGTCGTGACTCACAAGTTAGCTGCAAGCTGCCCAAACTGTTTGGCCTTGTTTCATTTTCTTGTCTCAGTTTCCCCTTCCACGTGCCCAGGAATTTTCCTAGCTTCTTACTATCCTGCCCCATTCTCTGCTCAGAGACTTCCATTGCTAAAGTCTTTTAGGGTTGATGAGGGAGGATGGTCTTTTTTTATGCAACAGTTTCATGCTGACAATGGCCATAGTCCCTGACTATGTCGGGTGTGGAAGTCTTTCACTGCCTGAGCTAAGGGAGACCAGGGAATTGGATCTGAGACTGGATCACAGATGCCGTTGGCTGATTCTTCTAAAGTGGAGTGAGCTGGAATTCTTGAAGTGTCATCATCTTGTGTCAAATTACTGTTTTCTGGAAGTGACACATTTGACAAGAAGATCAATGGAGGAAGGTCAATTATATTAAAACCCAGTCATGACATTACTTCTCTATAACAGGCTTTTGTTTCTTGAAGAGGAGCTTGAGGTCCTCAGTAGGTTCACAAGAGTAGGTCTCAGGTTGAGATTCCTGTAGGGACTCACAGGAAACAGATTACACTTGAGATAAATGGACCCCACTGGGTATCCCTGGGAGCTTTACTATAATTGGGGTGCTTACTAGGATTTGATGTGGCTCTTCCATCTGGGATAGAGTTGGGACTCAGGGCAGTTGTTTCCTCTTTTATTTATATATATATATATAAAAGCCAAGCAACCGAAACGCCGGACTGACTGGAACTAGCAGAACAACTGGTTGCTATGAAGTGCACTGCATCTGGCCAACTGGCCTGATGTGGGGAGGGGTGGCCCCTCCCCCTGGGCAGCCTGGCCAGATCAGGGGCGGGGCCTGCCAGCCAACCTCCCATGGCCCCTCCCCCCTGCCGGCTTGGTCCCCAATTGACCCCCCACCCTGATTGGGGGTGGGGCTGATGGGCCAACCTCCTGCATCACCTCCCCCCTCACTGACCTGGCCCAATCAGCCCCATGGGAGGGGGTGCCAGCTGGACCCCAGCCATGCACGAATTCGTGCATTGGGCCTCTAGTGTATATATATATATATATACACTAGAGGCCCGGTGCACAAAAATTTGTGCACTTGGTGGGGAGGGGGGGGTCCCTCAGCCCAGCCTGTGCCCTCTCGCAGTCTG